AAATATAATTTTCTCTTATTTATTACAAACATTTATATAAATTGCACAATGAATTAGTTGCTACTAGGATTACATTATACAGTAATAAAAGAAATACTAGGTTACTAATAGTATCCTAGTGTTTCTTTTATGAAATAATTTAATGCTAGACTCTTGTGAGATAACAAAATTTGAAAATGTATCACGAACACAGGGCTCGAAAAAACTCAGAAATTTTACCCGTCCCCGAGGACGGCTTATCCAACGATGTACCCGTCCTCCTTTGAAACTTCTAAATAAATAAAAATATAATTTTCTCTTATTTATTACAAACATTTATGCAAATTGCACAATGAATTATTAGTTACTAGGATAACAAATACTAGGATTACATTATACAGTAATAAAAGAAATATTAGGTTACTAATAGTAACCTAGTATTTCTTTTATGAAATAATTAAAACGACAAAGGTCAAGTTATCTGGAATTTCAATTTATCCGAGGGTACTGCGCTTTTTAAATTAATCAAATATGACGTTTGTCAGTTCCACAATCAAGCCAATGATTTACAGAGGTTTCTGCACAAAAATCTGAAAGGGGTTTTCCATTTAGGTAGATGTTCATAATTGCGTTTAACGCTTCTTGTTTAAGACCTGTCCAAATGCATATGCACAGATCAATTTTTCTTTTGTTTACCGATTACGTGAGAATACGCATTTGGTCTGACGAAGGAATTAACGGGATTTCTAGATTAGAGGGTCATTTTAGAAGTGAGGTGCTTGACTCTTGTAAGATAACAAAAATCGAAAATGTATCACGAACATTAACGGGAAAATGGCCGTCCGCGCGGACGTCGGATTCGAGAAAGTTGTCGCCCGCGGGGAATTTTTGACCGCCGAGGACGGGCGGTTTTGCGAGCCCTGCTAAAATGGTAGGATGGAAATTATATTTATTTGAATAAATGATAATATTTATGGTTAGAGGTAGAACATTCATTTATTTCGGATTGCTATTGCAAAAACTCAAATTTTTTAATATTGTAAAAAACATCTTTATAAAAAAAAGTGGTAGGAAGCATAAATATAATATTTTCTAGCAATGACTACCACTTTCAGTTTTGAAATAATACATATTTATATTATTTAGGTTAGTATACAGATATTTGTAAATGTATTCTGGTAAACACAAATATTTTTCTCGTCCAAAATAAACTGCAAAAATGAAATAATTTAATCACTTTCGGAACCGTACGAACTTTTTAAAGCTTAAAATGTACCTGGAATTGTATTGTTTTCATTTTAAAACATTAATTACTTTTTTCGGAAACAAAATGTTTTAAAAATTATATGATTTCTTACGCTAGAATTGTGCAACCAAATAACCTAAAAACTAAACCGTTCGTCAAATCCATTAGTTTTTCCTTTTTTTGTTTTGACCTTCTTTGAATTTTATAATTCTTTGATTTGATTTAAACAATTATTACAGCTTAAGTAGTTCAGTGATGCGTAACACGCTAATTCCTTTGAACTTTTATTATTGCCAACTCAGGAACGTTTAATTTGAAAAAAAAAAATTAATGTTTCCCACAATTTAAAACTAGACAAATTTAATCCAGAAACTCATTATTTTTCTGTGTATAATCTCAAGTTCATATAGTTCTCAATGATATCTGGTTTATGAATTATGTTTAATATTGTTATAAAATTAATGTTAATCTTAACGTTATAGAAATTGGATAATTTTCTTAAATACTTGTTAGGCCTTCATAAAACACCATTAACAGAATAATAAAATTT